TCACTGCCCTGTCCCTGCTGGCCACACTATGTCTGATACAAGCCAGGATGCTGTTGGCCTTCTTGGCCACCTGGGCACACTGCTGGCTCATACTCAGCTGGCTGTCGACCAACACCCCCAGGTCCTTATCTGCCAGGCAGCTTTCCAGCCACTCTGCCCCAAGCCTGTAGTGATGCCTGGGGTTGGTGTGACCCAAGCGCAGGACCCGGCACTGAGCCTTGTTGAACCTCACACAGTTGCCTCGGGGCATTGGCCCAGCCTGTCCAGATCCCCCTGTACAGCCCTCCTTGCCCTCGAGCAGACCAACACTCCCGCCCAACTTGGTGTCATCTGGCAACTTACTGAGGGTGCACTTGATCCCCTTGTCCAGATCACTGATAAAGATACTAAACAGAACTGGCCCCAATACTAAGCCCTAGGGAACACAACTTCTGACCGGCCACCAGCTGGACTTAACTCCATTCACCACAACTCTTTGAGCCCGGCCATCCAGCCAGTTCTTTACCCAGCAAAGCATATGCCCGTCCAAGCCATAAGCAGCCAGTTTCTCCAGGAGAATGCTGTGGGAAACGGTGTCAAAGGCTTTACTAAAGTCTAGGTAGACAACATCCACAGCCTTTCCCTCATCCACTCAGCAGGTCACCTTGTCATAGAAGGAGATCAGGTTAGTCCAGGGACAGAGAAGCCACCAAAACCATAGTGATTTGTTTCAATTCATTACTCTCAATGTTAGAAATATGTCTCTGGTATGCATCATGGTTTTAAAATTAATTTATCTAGCTTCTTTATCAAGTCATTGACACATTCTTGTTTTCCTTCTTGAAGAGCTCACACTATCAACTGCACATCATCTCACAGGCATTTACCAGCTGTAATCACAACAGTCCTTAACCTTCCCTTACATACCCAAGTAGACTCAGTTAGCGGAATCCTTCTCTCAACTACTACCCTTTAATAACTATGAAGGTAGAGAAAACTGCCATCCATGTTACAGTGAGCCATGATATACACATCCTTTTCAGACTGCCTGTTTTCTAAGATGGTATATCCTAGTACAATCTGCATTCAATAATGCAAGTACACTGAAATAAGCAGACTCTGCATTTTTTACCCTAGATTTAAGGATTTACATTTAATCAGAGGCAAGCATATAGGGACATCTTTTGCTTACATCTAACTACTAAACAATTACTGCACTGGCAGACAATACTGCACAGTCATGTCTGCTCTCATTGCTCATCACCCACACAATCCAATTCTACCCTTTTAACACACTTTCTCATTACTAATAAAAGATCATCAAGAAATGATTCAGCAGAATTCCACTGAAATATATTTTCTAACTTCTTCATGAATGAATTTGAAGACCACACAAACATTCAGGTCAGGAGTGCTACACTGACTTTTCACTATTACTGTTTCATGAATCAAGATACCATGTATTACCAAGGAAATTAATTAAGTATGCTAAGTATATTGGTTTATTACCATTACCATCCAAAGTTGCAGCTCAAAGGAAAGAAAACAGTTTGAAAAGACTCATCTTCTTTAAACTTGCTTTGTCTGACATTAACTACACTTCCATCATTTAATTACTTAAATTCAGTATTTGAATAGGCTTTGTACTACTATTTTTGCTTAGTCTTGTTGGCAGTGACAAGCCTATAGGTTACCCATGTTACCTAAGCTTAGTACTGGTACAGTACTTGTGCTTAAAATGTACTGAAAATGAGCTTCAACATTCTTGACAGTTTCTTGGCCTGCTGTTTTATAACTCCTCAGGTTCACATTACATTCACTCCATCGTCCATATGACATTCAATTCGCATAAGCAATCATATGCTTGTTCTTGTGCTTTGTTCTTTGTCCTTTGAAAGTTCTGGGGGAACTGCTTTGGTCCTCAACCAAACTTTGTCAAAGTTTTTCACAACAGGATGTAAAAAGCATGCCGTTTCTTCCTCCAGACTATCACAATGTCAAGGTAGCAAAACAGTCTTTAGCACATCTTTCTCTCCTTGGTGAAGAAACACCACTCACACCACACCTCTAGAATTTAATTTCACTGGTTTTCATGGCTTCTTACTGTGACCTACTTAGAAATGTGTTTACACAGATGTGTCAGTTACTATATAATAAAATATCCATTTCCTGAGTAGCAAGGGCAATATTATATGAACTACATTAAGCTTATCTGCAGATTATACAGCTTGAAATGATTTACAGCTTCCATCAGAGTCACTCAGGAAGACTGCAATTGGTCTGTGCTCCAACCACTGACATGGCCACTTTCTTCCTGTGAATCTTTCAAGTTAAAAATAGCTAAAGTGTTCTTACAACTCTGAGATTCTTTCAAGATCTGATCCACCATTCTCACCAAGGTCTTGGACTCTGCAGCTCAATTTCAGAATAGTTCAAAGAGCCCAAAACTCAGTGATTTGCAGGAGACCTTCCATAGCTCAATGGTAGTTCACTAGACAACATGAAGAAAACAACATCCTGACACAAAGGTTTCATTATGTGGAATATTTCTTGGACACTAAACCTTAATGAATGCTGAATTAGTGTCAAGTATAAAATGGGAGTCTTACTTTTCCAAACATGAAGTATAATTTCTTCAAAATATACTCATTTAACAGAATTAGTACAAGGTTTGAAAGAAGTACCACGTAGGTTTTCACTAAATGTTTCACAAATACACAGTTTTAACTGAACAAACACCATACACCATCACACCATATACCATCACTGTGGAACATATATTTCTAATAATATTTTGGTAGAAATCCAATTTTTGCACTGGAGTTGCAAGGTATATTCTTCTTTCTCTTTTGAAAGACAATTTACAGAGTAAATGTGTGACGCAAACACTTTAAATCCAATGTTTAGTTAGCTTACTTATAAGTCTAACCAACTCCATGTACTTCCAAAATTGAAAACCACTATCTAAAAGATGTCATTTATTTATTTTTTTCCTCAAGAAAATCACTCCACTAAGTCACATAGGTCCATTTCTTTAAACATACAATACAAAGAAAACTTTATAAAATCAACATGGAAATCCATGTCCTGAAAAATGTTTTCTCTGCTAACATTCCAGTCAAAGAGATTTGAAAAGCTGCAATATGGTTGCATAATTATAAAACATAAGTGGCATAAAAACTAAATGATAACTCCCAGCAACTAAGAACACAAAAGCACCAGTCAACTTTCTCAAAGGATAATTATGAAAATAATAATAATTTAAAAATCTTATTCCACAGATCATTATTTTTTTATACCATCTTATGAAAATACTGATAATGGACACACCATTAGACAAAAAACATTAGCACAGATGGACTAATAGTCTTTTCTAGTATTGCAGTTCCCAGATTCTAACCCACAGTTATATCAAACTATTTTCTTCTCCTTATTAATTGTTTCAGAAATGTCAATATATGCAAAAAGAAGGCAAATAGACTTATACCCTTTAACGCAGTAGTCTTCTCCTTTTCATCTGGGCCTCCTTGCTGGATCTGAGCCATTATTACCCAAACTGTCAACAGACTTAGAGTACCGAGGTAAGTGTACATTAATCGTTGAAGAACAATCTGAAAAATCAACAAGAGTTGGAAATTAACAAATTTACTGACTTCTACTTTAACAGACCTCACTTCCTACTGCTTATATTACAAAAAACCCAAAAGGCTGTTCCAAACCCAAAACTTCCCTGAGTATTATAAACTGCTATGATCATAAAATCATAGAAAGGTTTGGGTTGGAAGGGATCTTAAAGATCATTTAGTTCCAACCCCCCTGCCATGGGCAGGGACACCCTCCAAAGCCCCATCCAACCTGGCCTGATATCTAAGGTAAAATTAAAATTAACCTTTCCTCTCCTTCAAAGCTTATACTGGACACTCTGAAGTCTCATCACACTATCCTGGATTAAGACATTTTACAATGAAGTTTGGTCAAAGATTCAAGTTCACAAGAATGAACACGTAACTTCTCCCTAATCTTAAAAGGACATCTATCTAATTGATATTTCTTTTTTGTGATTCTAATGTAACATCAGTAAATGATAAGCCTTTTTGAGAAGCATGACACTTGTAAATCCAAAGTAGAAGACAGAAGAAAACTCAAAACATAATCAACAAACATAACTTCCACAATCTTTAAAGATTTTTTTAATCAATTAACTCCACTTTATTGTTCTTACTGTACTATACAGTTTTGTTTTAGTAAAACTACACAGAGTACACAGTTTTAAACTGCTGCGATTCCTACAGTACATTATCAGCATTTAAATTATGTATAGAGCAAATGTCCAGTTATAGAACAAACCTCAATATATTCAAGGTGAGAATTTACATGCAAAATATATTTCTAAATTTCTTATACTGCACAGAAGACAACCCAGACATTCAAATCTGCAATCTCTTTCATCTTGAATCTGACACCAAGGGAACAAACTACCACATCACAATCACCGCTTCTTCCTTCTCAATAAAGACTTCTGCGCATTGAATTCTTTTTCCCTTCATCTTTTTTGGTTCTTTATCTGTCAGTCATTACCAATTTGTTTTATTCTTCTCCCCAATATACTTTATCATGAATGAGGTTGCATGAACTGTATCTCTGCAGCAATTTGTAACTTTCAAAGAGTGATGGGATTCACCAACTCTACTGCTGGCTCCCTAATACTTTCACCTCTAAGAAAGAACCCCAGAATGGCTCCTTTTAAGTAACAGTAGCTCACTGCAAAGGCAGCTCCAAGACTTTTTATAACCCAAGGGAAGAAACATAAAATTTATCTGAACAGATTTACCTTGCTAAAGTAACCCCTATCCCCTAATCAGATAAATCAATGCAGTGACCAAGAATCCCTGGCATTCTTGCCTCTACAATGGATACCCCGCCTTCTTCCTTTAACAGATGAAGACCCTGCCACTGAGGAAAGAGTAGATAACAGGTTCACTTGCCAAGCTAGAAGCACCAAAATAAATAAATAAACAATTACACCTGAATTTAGCTTTGAGAGAGAGAATTTCCAGTTCTTTTTGACAAAGTAAAAAACTGTTACAGCAGCCACTGGAGGGAGGACTTGATACTAGAATGAGGATGAAACAAGCACACAATACTTTATGCATTGTTTGTGTAAACACAGAATTTTGTTGAATCCCTCACTGATATTTGTTTAAATGGCAAATATAAGAAATTAGATGAGAGGGTTGGGTTTCCTTTCTTTGACAGACAGATGTGAAGTCAACTATAGCCTGGTGGTGCAGAAATGAAGAGTGGGAAAATTATAAAACTCTCTGGTTGCTTATAGGCAAATGCAGGAACTGCAGTTTATTCCAGGCATCAGTTTCAAGTCCCAGTGATCCTCAACTGCACACACTGACCACTCCATATCATTCAGAAGTAGTATCATCAAGTTTCTTGTAATAAATACAGATTATTTTAAATGTGTTATTCTGTACAATTACTTAGACGATTCTTCTAAAAACATCTTTTTCCTGATTGTTTCTGCATTAACTACAGCAAGCATACTTCCTAAAAAACAAGTTACAATTTCACCTGAAGAAACACTTACAATAAATAAGTTTATTGCCAAGAGAATGTATATTTATTTGTATGTATCTTGCCTTCCCATGCAAACTTAGATACTCTCTCACAAAATATCGCATGCATATTCTATGCCTCTTCAAATCAATACCCAGCAATACTTAAAATAATTTGACAGCAGAAATATTCTGGTTTCATGTTTTCACAGAAGACAACAGGGCTGCATTTTTATCATACCCCTATTAATGCAACTACAGAACTGGTGGATCCACAAAGAAATGGTCATTAAATTTAAAAACAAATGAGCAAACAAAAACCCCCAAACCAATCAAACCCAACAGACATTTGCACACTTGAGGGAATACAGAAACATATTTCATGTCCTTGTCTGTAAAGTGGTACTGGAAGTTCAGACCACTGAGCTTGTGATTGTAAAACAGTGCTACTCTCCAAATCAAACTAGACACTGTATCATATATTCCATCTGAAACAAACACACACATACAGAGATTTCTACAGGCTTCAATTATTCTTCATTGTGTAAATGCAGCTAGAAAGGTGGCAAAAAAAATTAGTATATGATTTTGCTCTACATTAGCAATACTTCAAATTAAATCAATGCCAGAAATGTTCCAAATAAAGGCTATAAATAATTGCTGTGCTAACCTACTCTAAGTGCAACACAAGAAGAAAACCCACAAGTATTTTCAAACACCACAAGTCCATCAAGCTTCTCTGGACGTAATCTGAGCAGCAGTCAACAGAATGCTTCTTTGCACTGCACTGCTTTATGAGAATACAGTTGAACTAGTCTTGTTCTCTCTAAACTGACATCCCAAGCAAACTATGGACAAGTATGGGTTAGATTTGTGCAACGTGGCTGAGGACTGAGTAAGACTCAGTTTTTCTTCACAGAGATAGCTGGGTGACAGTTTGGCTCTAGTCCCTTCTCTGTATTGGCTCAACAAAGCAAAACACATATACTTTAATCTTAGTATTTTCTAATTAGATTTTATCTATTCCTTCTTTCAGGGCACTACAGATGACATCAGTAACAAATGTGACAGTTAAGGTTGTACTTCACCTCCCTTCACTTATAAGATCCTATTTTCAACTGCTTATAGGTTTGCCAGACTTCAGCTCTAAAAGCCAATTATTTCTAGTCTGCTTTAGACTGAATGGTTTTGAAAAAGTTCACCTAAAATGTCTACCTCTTGTATAAGGAGATGGTTCAGAGTCAGTATCTTCTGCTCAGTTCTGCCAATATTAATAAGCAGCTACAACATCTCCGTGTTGTAGAGATCAGAAATTTAGCCAGAGGATCAACTTAGCAGTGGGTGCCTCTTGCTACTACCCTTAGAGCCTGCCCAGATCTGCTCAAGTAAAAATTGCTTTTTGCACACATTTCATATAGACTTATTAAGACTTATTAGAATTTCCAGAAAATTTACTTATTTGCCTAGAGCATACTCCATACAGCTGCGAAAAGCCAGAGGGAAGATGCACAGGAGGGGAGTGACAAATGCTAGAAGAGCAGGATCTTTAACCACCAGAACACAAAGAAACTGGCAAGGACCCTGAAGTCCCTGAATCTCAGTATATCTCCACATTCTACCAAATGGTGGTGGAATTTGTTGATAAAGTACATGACTGCAGCCGACATTAAAGGTTGATTTATTTGCACAGCAGCTACCTTCCAGTATTATTTACCCTGTAAGCTCAAAAAGCAGAGGACTACGAGCTATATGCATTAGCATCCCATGTCAGCAACTCAGTTGTTTACACAAGGCAGAGTAAACACGATTCCACACACTGAAATTTTAATTATTTCAGTTTAACTTTCTTGAAATGCTGGAAATGACCTTCATAAAGACATGCAAGTAAACACGATCAAATAATCATCTCAAAAGAATACAAAAAGAGGTAGCACAACCTCAATGCAGCCTCTGGGAGGTTTACAACATGATGTTGGTTGTTATCAACCAAATGTGAAGTTCAAAATTATTATAAAGAATTCTTTTGTAGTAGCAACAGCTTTGAATGCACGTACTGGTTTTTGCTGGGATAGTTAATTTTCTCCACAGTATCCAGTGAAGTGTTTGGAGCTGTGTTTTGGATCTGTGCTGAGAACAGTGCTGATAACACGGGGATGTTTCCGTTCCTGCTGAGGCTTACACAGAGCCAAGGGCTGTTCTGCTCCTCACCCCAGCCCACCAGCGAGTGGGCTGGGGGTGCACAAGGAGTTGGAGGGGACGCAGCCGGGACAGCTGACCCCCGTGACGAAAGGGATTTCAGACCGTATGGCATCATGCTCAGCATATAAAGCTGGGGAAAAAGGAGGAAGGGGGGACATTTGCAGCAATGGTGTTTGTCTTCCCAAGTCACCGTTACACGTGATGGAGCCCTGCTTTCCTGGAGATGGCCAAACACCTGCAATTCCTTAATTCGCTTTGGTTGCCTGAGTGGCTTTTGCCTTCTCTATTAAACTGTCTTTATCTCTACCCATATGTTTTCTCACTTTTACTCTTCTGATTCTCTCCCCCATCCCACTGCAGCAGGGAGTGAGCGAGTGGCTGCATGGGGCTGAGCTGCTGGCTGGGGTTAAACCACAACAACATGGAATACAGTACTCTCTTAAATATGCAGAATATCAATAATTAAGTGCACTGAGAACCCTACTTCTGTTGAGGCAATGGATAGTTATCTAACAAATGAGGCAAGCAGCTCTGGGGACCAAAAAAGTGATCCTGCAGTGAAAGCAGGAGAATGCTGTCTGGAGAACTCTGCTCACAGGAGAAATTTGTAGGTGTTCTTATTTTACTCAGATGATCTGATAACCTCTTTTTGCATATTTCCCATTTTCTGGGCATTCAGCTGAATCATTTCCTTCATGCTCAGAATACGGACCGTTGGATTCCTGTTTCAAGAAGGACATTGAAGAACCTTCCCTAGCTTTCCCAATCTCAGTACCCAAGATGAGTGTACACTGAAGAGTAGGACATTAACTTCAAGATGCCTTTCA